TGTACTTTTGTTCAGGAAACACTGAGCTCTGCAGTGCAGATTCCACTGGTGCCTGATCCAGCCCAGCACGAGCCAGGTTACTAACATCACTGCAGCAGCCAGAGATGAGTCTGGTCTGACAGTATTAATTAAACAGGCCAGTTAAAAACTGGCAAGAACTGCTTTTTTTCTGATGTACAAGGACTTGCTCCTCCACTGATTAGCCAAATCCATGTTGTAACCAGATTAACCTTACCCAGCAACACATCCCTTTGTGCTCCAATATGAGCATCTCTGTATGCAGGGTTAGTCCATACCAGCTCCTCTGCTTTGAGCTCAGTCTTTGGCCAGATGGCCTTTCCCAGGCCAGCAAGAACCACCACTGCCTGGGCACTGTGAGCTGGAAAACACTCACCCATGTCCAATAGTCCAGACTTAAACATTTGGAGCTGTTCCTAACTGGAGTCAGCACCAGGATTAGCCAGCAAGGCAGTGAGACAGGGAAGGGGATGCAGTCCAAGAGCTGCCTCTTTAAAACAGACTCCACTGGGATTCAGCTTTTTCAGAGGAGATTCTCAAAGCGGTGCCAAAGGGCAAATTTTAAAGTAGCTTTAAATAAGACCTCCTAAGGCTCAGGAGCTTAAAGAACTTGAATAGCTCAGGGTTTTTTCCCCTTTCTTCCCTCCCCCCTCTCCTTTCTTTTTTTTGGAGAGGTTGATTGCCAGGCAGGTTTTCCCAAGAACCTACCAGCTCAAGTGATCATGAACACTTTAGCCCTGTGAAATAATATTTCTCTTCCATGGGCTACTATAAAAACAAGTTCTGCACAGTAGGCAAATTTAAAATAACTTTTAATTAACATTTCAGACACAGAAGTCTGATCATGCAAATTCATCTGCGTCTCCTCTCTGCGCCTGATTGTTCCTGATTGAATAAGATAAAAATAGACTTTGTATGAGTCAAGTGTAGGCATGGATTTCTTTCACTTCTCCTCCCCTCTGATTATGCATTTTCTTAGATAAAGTGGAAATCCTTGGATGGCTATTAACAGTATCATGGGTCAGACTGGAAAGGGCATGCTGCCTGAGAGGAGTTAAAGATTTCACTGGAATTAAAGGCGTTCCTTCTGTGAACAAAAAAAAGATGCTTCAGCCTAAGATAAAACCTCACCTGAGACTCTCCAGCACTGTTCTGTCTCAGCTGACTTATAATCTCTGAGATACCAACACTAATTTCATTGCACCCCCTGTATCTGTGGTGAGCATCTGAGGTGAGCATCTGGCCAGAGGCTAGGGATCAATATTAATATGGAAAGAATACAATTCACTTGCACACAAGAGATAAATATTTGAAGGGAGGCTGAGGAATTTCCACACAATTAAGCCATGTCAGAGGACACGACCCTGTTATGAGTAACAGGGACTCTGGATAATGAAGGGCACACTGATACCTTTATCTTTTAACAGTAACAGAGCCAGTTTCTCAGTAAAACTTCCTATGAAGTCTTTGTAACACAGTCCAGTTGAAATGTCAGTATTTTACACCAGCTGATGGTTTGTCAGATGCAAAACCCACCAAAAATGCCAGGACAATGAACAAACACAACTAACCACTCTCCAAGAGCCATGGAAAACTTGGGCATGGTGGATTAAACTAGCCCTTTCTATGACATCTGACCCAGAGCCTGTGGGTACAAGGTAGTTGGGCACATCACAGTTGGTGTTACCTTTGCTTGCACCTCTGCTCTTTGGCAGAGGGAAGAACTGCCTCCCTCCATTTATTGCAAGTAACAATATCACATGAAGAACACAACACAACACAACAAGCAGGCTGAAGTCCCTTAGCTAGACAAAAGAGCATTCCCTGGGTCACAGCCCTTCACTGAATCATTAAAATTGCCCCAAACTGCTGCCTGTGATATTTATGGCATTTCAGAGGATGTTTCACTTCTCTGGCGTTTCTCATGAGACACTTCCCCACCGTTGGCTGCTCTCTGATGCTCCTCAGCACAGGCAGGTAGCACTGCAGATCAAGAAAACATTCACCATCGCAAAAAACAGAGCTGGAAAGGACTAGAGGAAGGGCCTGGTCCAGTGCCTCACAATTCGATGCAGGTCCTGGTCACAACCACCAGGACTGGTCATGGCTTGCTGATGGGGACTGGACTTAGAGTTGACAGCAGACTTGAGTTCGAAGTTGTTTCATCCAGAGACTGTGATTTCCTCCCTCCCATATAATTTCTGAATCCTTGTATGGGAAGGTGGGGCTGCTTCCTCCCCTGCTGTTACACAGGACCTTCCCCAGCCTTTCAGGTGATGGACCAAAGGCTCTGAAACCCATTTTCACATAAGCACCCAAGCATTCTAGAGTTTTCCTGAGTATCTTCAGTTTGTACATTTAAGGATCTTCTGTGCCATTTTAGTGCTCTTTTTCCACTTCTTATCCAGCACTACATTTTGATGACAGCCCATCTGGTATTTTGGATATCTGCAGGTCACCCACTCTGATGGACGTGTCATTTTGGCATTCTTGTGCCTGTGCCTGAACTTCCACATGGTCCACACACACAGTCTCTTCCCTCCCTGCACTGTGTTCCTCGACTACAGATGTGACCTGACTTTCCTGACCATTGCAGTGGCTGGTTTCTTCTCTCCCATCCCGTTGTTAAATTTTACACAGCAACATTAATTTCTGCTGCTGAATACAAAAACATGGTGCAGTGTCCTCCTGAGCTACATTCCTATCCAGAAACGATTAAGTCTAAAACCACCCTGGCTGAATGACAGGTAATTTAGGAGCACTATAGGGTGGGCTTTTGTATCTGTCTGGGATGAACACAGTTCCTGAGTTCCTCTCATCTGGCAGCTTTCCAAGTGCAAACCACAATTTCAGTTATTCAGCCTATTTTGTTTTTACAACAGCATCTCAATAAAGAAATATTTAAAATGAAAATATGCAGTATCTCTCCAAACAGTCCACAGGCTTAAGAGGCCATGGGTTTTCTTACCCTCTGAGGAGCTGTAGATTTCCTGGAAAGTGATTTTTGCTATGTTTTTAGAGGTGTTAAAATGCAGATCAGACTATTTGAGGACAGCAAGGAGATTCAGCTCAGGTTTAAAGAGACTGATCAGCCTGATGTTGTTCTCTCTGCCAGTAAGGGAAAAACCATATTATACTTTCATATTCACATGAAATTCATCCTGGCTATACTCGGGAGTATATAAAAGATATTTGTTTCCATAGAATCAGAAAGGATTATTGTAAAACACCCTTGGTTTTCAAATCTTTATAGACAGTCCCATGTGCTACTGTGTAAAGCCCTTTGGCCCTTGCAAAACTCTTTCTTCGGTGATTGAAATTAGAGAAATAATGGTACACATCAACTCTGCTTAGAGGAAGAGTAGCATTTTCTAATCCATTTAACACAATTCTATGGGTAATTCTCTTGATGGCTTTTATTCCTTCTAGGTTTAACACACACTGAGACATTAAATACTCAGAATTCACCTGAAAGCAAATTTCCATTATCTCACCTTCCATCAGATTCAGCTTTGGAAATTGTTTTGGAAAGCCATTAAAATATACCACATCCGGAGGGATGCTGCCCTCCAAAATGGACCAATGTGCAGGGACAACTAACCCTGACATGGCTGAACCTGCTCCCCCAAACCTGCATGTGGAGACAAGGACCAGGCAACCTGGGCCATCTGAACAACCTGTGCTGAAGTGACGTGGCCACTAGATGTCATTCCTTTTTCACACAAATGGAGGGTAAAGTAGTATTTACCAGGCAGGATAAGGTCCTTCCCCCAAACACTAGGGAGCTGTGGCATCTGTACTGCTGTGGTGCAAAATCCCATGGCCCAACAGACACAAACCTCTCTAAGGTTGGCTGCTGTGAAGTTTTCCAGAGAGAAAAAACCCCTGCTGGCAGGAGAAAGGACCAATTTGGGTGTATGGGGGCATAAACTGGGCTCTGCAAGGCTTCCTTGAGTTCTGCTACCTATCTGCAGTTTCTAAGGGCATAACTAAGGTGAAGCTGATACTGCATTAATAACTATTTAGAGATCCTTTAAGATGGAATGAAAGTTCACAATAATATAAATAATAAAAACATTCCTCAAAGGATGTTCAGTGACTTGAACACAATGCAGTTAGACATTCTGCATTTGTAAAGATTTGATGTCTTTTAAGATACATCATTTACTGCTCCTTGTTGACCCTCATATGAATACAGATAGTGGATACACAAAGATTTCTCATTTATTAGCATTCTCAACTTAGTATGCACGTTTCAGATGTTCTACATCTATGGATTATGAAGGCTGGAATAAACCAGACCATATCATTTCACCTTCCAATTCTTCATTTTTACCGTAACCAGCTCTAAATATTTGGCATTTGTAATCTCTTTATGTTTTCCCCTTGCCCCCCAGTAATACCTTGGAGTACATGAGAACAGAGGAAGACTATGCTAATATGAGAAAGATCTTTAACTCATTAAAAACAGATGTACTGAAGAATGTCTACACATTTACTGCCAGCACACACAAACACATCTGCTAGAACTATCAGTGAAATACAAGTTTCACCAGTTACCTGTTACCATTTTGAGTACTTAATGCCTCCTTGAAATCATATCTGAGCTATAAACCCCAAATAAGTCTTACTGCTCAGGATTTCACTCATAAGTACTAATAACTCTGCTATGTCTACAGCCAATTGCTGTGAAACAACTGCCTCCTCTTTGGTGCAATCAGACATGGTCTGTTTGCCACGTTATTTCAGCTCCTTTAGTACCTCAGCAAAATTGGGCAGCAAATAGTTTTGCTGGTCCACAAATCAGTCTTTGTTTCCTTTTTTCCTCTTTTTTTTCCCCCCCACTTAAAGTCTTTGTTCCAGAGTTATCCCTCAAAGTTCCTCCTACCTGCCAAACCAGCTAAAAGAGAAGGCAGAAACCAACACCCATGACTTACAAACACACTTTGTATCCATGATCACTGTGCTGATGTGATACTTACAGTGCTGGTGGTGAATTCAGGGGGGTTGTCATTCACATCTGTCACTGTAATAATTGCTGTTGCTGTGTTTGAGAGACCATAGTTCAGATTTCCTTCCATATCTGTGGCCTGGACAATGACTACGTACTGCTGAACTTTCTGAAAAAAAAGAAAAAAGAAAAAAAAGAAAAGAAAAAGATGAGAAACAAAACCACATCCTGTAGAACGGTTTATTTTCCATATACAAGCATGATCTTTAAGCAGACTAAAAAGTTAACTGGATTAAAAATGTTAGTAAAAAGACTGATAGAATTTTCTACCATGTATTTGAAGGTTTTTTTTTGCATAGATGGGTGGACATCACCTTTGTGTGGGGAAAAAAAAATGTCTTATGGGCAAAACCCGACATTTTTATTAATTTTTCAGCAGTTTTGGCAACATGAGTTTCTGTGTCCTGAAAACCAGTAGAAGTTTTGTGCATGTGTTTTCATTGAAAACATCTCTCAGAACATTATACCCCCAAAATTGACATCAACATTGCCTGGCAGCACTACAGCCCATTCTGCTCACACAGTTCGATGCTCAAAAAGCATTTTAGCTACTTCAAATGCTCTCCATGTTTCAATCCTTTACACAATCTTGGTAAATAAGGAGAATTTAAGTCCACTACGGAAGAAAAAGTAAGTCAATGCAATAAATAGAAGTTCAGCAGAACTGATTTAAATTCCTGAGCATCCCTTACAACACAGCTCTCAGGAAAACCTCCCAGAAACAGCCATAAAAACCACACAATGAAGTTCTATAAGATGCTGTATGTCAATGCAATGGGAAAATAAACCTGAACAAAATAGGAGAGGCCATCTGATCTTGCATGTGGAAACCTCTGCCTGGGATGTCTCTTTACTCAGAAGTATCTGCCTGCACTGAGAAAAGTCTCCTAATCTGCAAAACTGTTCTGAACAATACACTTTCATTTGGATCTGCAGAATTGACTATGCATTTCTAAATGTTTTGTGCTCACAGAGCACTTTAAGACAGGAAAGCAAAGTTCCTTTCCTGAAATATGGTCAAAGGGATGCACCAAGAACCAGTGAGGGAGCCACACAAAATCAGTGTGCAAAATCTCAACATGACATCCTATTCCTTAAGGCTCCAGATGTAATTACAGATGTGAGATGGAACATATCTGTACTACTGTGGTGCAAAATCCCATGGCCCAACAGACACAAACATAAGACTGGATGCTATGATTACACACCTTGGTCTGTTAGGTGTGTAAACCAAATGGAGGCAAAATTTTATGCAGGAAAAGCTTTTTGGAAGTCAAGTAAAGGGACAAGGAGGGACTGGGGCATGCTGGACTGCTGGGGCTCTCAGAGCACAGCTCAGGTACTCAGAGCTGCTCCTTCCCTGTGACGATGCTACAAGCGTGTGTAAAATGTCAAATGTCCTCTGAAATTTCAAAGGGCAAGAATTAGGTCAATTAGGTCTCTCTGCTCCCATATAAACATTCTTGAGGTGCTGTAATTGGCACAGTTGTTTAATTCTTCTGAGTTGCCAGAATAAGAGATCTGAATTTTAGCCTTATCTTGATTCCAGGACTTTTAATTGACCTGCTAAATTGACAAGACATCACACTCAGGGATCCATCAGCACCTTGCAACTGGAATATATTATGGAAATGCACTTTCATTATCTCTTCCCACCTTGTATAATAAAACATGAGGGAGAAACTATTGTTAGCCCTTGTTTTGCCTCATGCAAGAAGGTGCTGATCATTACTCCGTTTGTAAAGCACTGAGTAAGGCTGAAATATCCTTATTAGAGAATGTAATTTCTATTTCATATTTAGCCTTTCCTTCCTTATTCTCTCTTATAGACAACTTGGGAGGCTGATGGAAGTATTCCCTAACAGACCAAATACTTTTGAGCCAAATTAGGTTTAAACCATAAAAGGGGGAAAGACATTCAGAAAAATCAGAGCAATCAGATTCCACATAAATTAGAAAAACCAGGTGTGAGGCCCACATGAAAGACTCATTTCTGTAGCACATTTAAACAGCAAAGCCACCTCTACTGTTCCTGGCTGCAGTGAGAGAGACCTGTAATCCACAGCCTTCCCTGACAGTGTGGCTGTCGTGGGTTATTGTCAAAGCTTCAGTGCTTTGGCAGCGACTGCAGGAAAAAAATGTTCCTTCCTTTCTGTCAGTTGAGAGGGCAATGGAACAGCTCCCATCAGCAAGTGCTTCTTTCTTAGCTTGGCATTTCACTGTTTTTCTGTGTTTACAGACTTGAGTTTTTCCTGGCTCCCAGATGTGCCCACTGGAGCACACTGGGGCTGAGGAAGCACCAAGCCCCCAGTGAGGGCACAGCAAAGGCAGCTCTGTCCATGTCAAAAGCAATTCTGAAACTTGTGACCCTGTTATACAAATTGAATCTGAACTCTGAGAACACACTGCAGACCTTGGCTAAGGTCATGCTCTGTCTGTTTAGTGGTTACTCACACCGGGACCAGTGTGTACACCTCCCACTGCCTCCAGCTCCTTTCACCTGGCTTTATTCACTTCTGAACCAAAGCTTCCCTTGGAAAAGGAATCCTCTCATACAAGAGAGGGTGAGGGACTAGAAAACCTCATTTAAAAGTTTCATGAACTTCACCATCTTTCTGCTTATTGAATTACACACACACTGATGACTTGTGTGTGTGTACTCACAGACCTCAGTTTACAACCTTTTAACAAAGCATTAGCAAAGCACTGAGCATCATAGCATAGTGTTAATAAACCCTGGCCACAAATTCACAACACTAAATTATGGAAGTTTAAAAGAAAGATGATATCAATCAGATCATACAACACACATAAAAAACCCAAACCCCAAACAAACAAACAAAAACACAAAAAAGGAAACTGGCCAGAATTTAGCAATGTGCAAATGTACCAGCCATGAAGAGCTGGTGGTGAGGATGGGAACAGGGGAAGGATGGCAAGTGCAGGGAGTCCAAGCCTGATGAGAAAATGTGAGGAATTCCAGCAGATCTCAAAAGGGTGGAATGATCAGGTAGGATCATGATGGGAGTGTACACATTGGAGATGGGTGATGTATCTCAGGATACCAGAGGCAACTGCAGCCATCACACACCAGAACTGAACTGCTGGTGGAATCCTGAAGCCATCAAAGTTGCACTGATTTCCATCAGCTGAAGACAGAACCATTGTGCTTAGAGCAAAAGTGGAATCTGACATGGAGAATGGCCTTGCTTGGTATGTAAAGCTGTATAAAACTCAGACATATGAAACCAGTAACATAGAAACATTTAGGTTGGAAAAGACCCTTAAGATAATTGAGTCCAGCCATAAAGCCAACACTGCCAAGTCCACTAAATGGAAATAGTCTGAGATCTGCCAAACCTTTAGGCACTTGGTTGCCATCAACACCCAGTTCCATCTGAAAGGCTCCAGCACTGTGGGCATATAAGGGTGCAGCTTTCAAGTACCTAGTCTTAGTTTATAACTAATTCAATCTCCAGTGAGATTTGCCCCAGCAGATAACAAATTACTGATTTTTTGTTTTTCCGTAGCTAATCTTTTTGCTTTTGTGCATTAAGCTGATTTTATTGAACTATTCAATCAATTTCAATTTCAGTATGTCCTTCCAATTTGTCACATCATCTCCAGGGGCATCTTGGTTTGTTGTCCTAATAGTATTATTATTGTTACGACTATTAAAAAAAAAAAAAAAGGAGCCTCATGCCCCCAAGCACCAGGGACATTTTCTTGATGGCATTTTGGTCATACAGAATAATTCCCCTATTCTTTTTCTTTAAAAAATTGACATTTTAAATAGCACAGGGCAGAAACTACAGCACAGAGGTAAAACAAAATGGTCCTAACATTTACTATATGTTTGCTCTGATGATGATGCTTTGGAACTAAGGAAATGAGCCTCTGCCTTGAGGGGGTCTAGGCTAAAACCCCAGCCCCACTGAAGCTCCTGAGAGGTCCACTGACCAATATTTTTAATAAATCTAACAAATCTTCACACTACAGCAAAGTAAATGTGCTGCTGCTTCTTAAGCCAAGGAAAAAAACTCATCTTGATAAGTGCAGAGCTTTTAGTCTGACCTAAAAACTAAGAAGGGCTTTTGAAGGAAAAAAATTATAAAGGAAGGAATAATTAAAGAAACTGTGGCAGATCTAATCTGTCTGCACTTCTGTCAATCATCTGATACAGTGCCCCAAAGAAACACATCAGCTAAATTCCTGAAGATGGGAATTAGTTGAAGAAATTGGTTAAGTTGGTCAGTGGGAAGTTGGTTAAGCAATTGGTTAACAAGGTAGTAAGGAGGAATAACAGCTTGAGAGAAGCATAACCTGACCATTAGATAAATGTCCTGGTTTTAGCCAGGATGG